ACACACTGGTTCTAAACTGAACATGCGAGACACACTGGTTCTAAACTGCCTGTGGGAAGAATTAACCTTTAATACATTCTTGGTTAAAGGCTCTGGTTAAGCTGTTCACATTGCTCTTTTTCGAGCATGTTATCTTCTGACTCATACTTTCTTTGACTGTTGGGTCTCTCTCCATCTCTCCCGTGTGTGTTTAAATGTCACTACAGTCGGGGCGATGCTTATCGGAATACACGCGATTGGCTGAACAGCATCACATGACACTTTACAACGCACGCAATTGGTCGGTGCGTTTCCTGGACCGCTGAACGAGTGCCGTCAAGGCTGGAAAAGATGCACCAGTTAAAATAGAAGTGCTCCATCAAAATTTTATAATTCTCAATTATCTATCGGTTGTAGGTCCAGGGTCCAGACCTATTAGTGACCTCTGGTCCATGGTGTGAATGGGTGTCACTTTTCATAGGGAAAACCAGTGTTCAGCCCACATTTAAGCCTGGTAGAGAGCAGGGTTATGAAGCCAGGGTAGTTAACAGATTCATCCATTTCAGTCAAAAACAAACGTGACTTTAATCCAAGTGGTTGTTGAAAAGGGTTCTGCACTGTCTGCATGTATAGTGGGGCAAAAAAGTATTTAGTCAGCAACCAATTGTGCAAGTTCTCCCACTTAAAAAGATGAGAGGCCTGTAATTTTCATCATAGGTATACCTCAACTATGAGACAAAATGAGGGAAAAAAAAAAAAAAAAAAAAAAAAAAAAAAAAAAAAAAAAAAAAAAACAAATCCAGAAAAATCACATTGTCTGATTTTTAAAGAATTTATTTGCAAATTATGGTGGAAAATAAGTACTTGGTCAATAACAAAAGTTCATCTCAATACTTTGTTATATACTCTTTGTTGGCAATGACAGAGGTTAAACGTTTTCTGTAAGGCTTCACAAGCTTTTCACACACTTGCTGGTATTTTGGCCCATTCCTCCATGCAGATCTCTAGAGCAGTGATGTTTTGGGGCTGTCGCTGGGCAACACGGACTTTCAACTCCCTCCACAGATTTTCTATGGGGTTGAGATCTGGAGACTGGCTAGGCCACTCCAGGACCTTGAAATGCTTCTTACGAAGCCACTCCTTCGTTGCCCGGGCGGTGTGTTTGGGATCATTGTCATGCTGAAAGACCCAGCCACGTTTCATCTTCAATGCCCTTGCTGATGGAAGGAGGTTTCCACTCAATCTCACGATACATGGCCCCATTCATTCTTTCCTTTACACGGATCAGTCGTCCTGGTCCCCTTGCAGAAAAACAGCCCCAAAGCATGATGTTTCCACCCCCATGCTTCACAGTAGGTATGGTGTTCTTTGGATGCAACTCGGCAATCTTTCTCCTCCAAACACGACGATTTGAGTTACCAAAAAGTTCTATTTTGGTTTCATCTGACCATATGACATTCTCCCAATCCTCTTCTGGATCATCCAACTGCTCTCTAGCAAACTTCAGACGGGCCTGGACATGTACTGGCTTAAGCAGGGGGACACGTCTGGCACTGCAGGATTTGAGTCCCTGGCGGCATAGTGTGTTTCTGATGGTAGCCTTTGTTACTTTGGTCCCAGCTCTCTGCAGGTCATTCACTAGGTCCCCCCTGTGTGGTTCTGGGATTTTTGTTCACCGTTCTTGTGATCATTTTGACCCCACGGGGTGAAATCTTGCGTGGAGCCCCAGATCGAGGGAGACTATCAGTGGTCTTATATGTCTTCCATTTTCTAATAATTGCTCCCACAGTTGATTTCTTCACACCAAGCTGCTTACCTATTGCAGATTCAGTCTTCCCAGCCTGGTGCAGGTCTACAATTTTGTTTCTGGTGTCCTTTCACAGCTCTTTGGTCTTGGCCATAGTGGAGTTTGCAGTGTGACTGTTTGAGGTTGTGGACAGGTGTCTTTTATACTGATAACGAGTTCAAACAGGTGCCATTAATACAGGTAACAAGTGGAGGACAGAGGAGCCTCTTAAAGAAGAAGTTACAGGTCTGTGAGAGCCAGAAATCGTGTTTGTAGGTGACCAAATACTTATTTTACCGAGGAATTTACCAATTAATTCATTAAAAATCCTACAATGCGATTTCCTCGATTCTTTCCCCCCATTCTGTCTCTCATAGTTGAAGTGTACTTATGATGAAAATTACAGGCATCTATCATCTTTTTAAGTGGGAGAACTTGCACAATTGGTGGCTGACTAAATACTTTTTTGCCCCACTGTATTAGGACTGTGATCCAAACACACGTACAGTTGTGTGAAAAAGTGTTTGCCCCCTTCCTGTTTTCTTATTTTTTGCATGTTTGTCACATTTAAATGTTTCAGAGCATCAAACAAATTTAAATATTAGACAAAGATAACACAAGTAAACACAAAATGCAGTTTTTAAATGAAGGATTTTATTATTAAGGGAAAAAAAAAAAATCCAAACCTACATGGCCCTGTGTGAAAAAGTTAAAACATAAATTAACTGTTAAAACATAAATTAACTGTGGTTCATCTTTGGAAAGCTGAGTTCAATTTCTCTAGCCACACCCAGGCCTGATTACTGCCACATGTGTTCTCAATCAAGAAATCACTTAAATAGGACCTGCCTGACAAAGTGAGGTAGACCAAAAGATCCTCAAAAGCTAGACATCATGCTGCGATCCAAAGAAATTCAGGAACAAATGACAAACAAAGTAATTGAGATCTATCAGTCTGGAGAAGGTTACAAAGCCATTTCTAAAGCTTTGGGACTCCAGCGAACCACAGTGAGAGCCATTATCCACAAATGGCAAAAACATGGAACAGTGGTGAACCTTCCCAGGAGTGGCCGGCCGACCAAAATTACCCCAAGAGCGCAGCGACGACTCATCCAAGAGGTCACAAAAGACCCCAGAACAACATCCAAAGAACTGCAGGCCTCACTTGCCTCAATTAAGGTCAGTGTTCATGACTCCACCATAAGAAAGAGACTGGGCAAAAATGGCCTGCATGGCAGAGTTCTGAGACGAAAACCACTGCTGAGCAAAAAGAACATAAAGGCTCGTCTCAGTTTTGCCAGAAAACATCTTGATGATCCCCAAGACTTTTGGGGAAATACTCTGTGGACGGAGAGACAAAAGTGTATGTCCCATTACATCTGGCGTAAAAGTAACACGGCATTTCAGAAAAGGAACATCATACCAACAGTAAAATATGGTGGTGGTAGTGTGATGGTCTGGGGCTGTTTTGCTGCTTCAGGACCTGGAAGACTTGCTGTGGTAAATGGAACCATGAATTCTGCTGTCTACCAAAAAATCCTGAAGGAGAATGTCCGGCCATCTGTTCGTGACCTCAAGCTGAAGCGCACTTGGGTTCTGCAGCAGGACAATGATCCAAAACACACCAGCAAGTCCACCTCTGAATGGCTTAAGAAAAACAAAATGAAGACTTTGGAGTGGCCTAGTCAAAGTCCCGACCTGAATCCGATTGAGATGCTGTGGCATGACCTTAAAAACGCGGTTCATGCTTGAAAACCCTCCAATGTGGCTGAATTACAACAATTCTGCAAAGATGAGTGGGCCAAAATTCCTCTACAGCGCTGTAAAAGACTCATTGCCAGTTATCGCAAACGCTTGATTGCAGTTGTTGCTGCTAAGGGTGGCCCAACCAGTTATTAGGTTTAGGGGGCAATCACTTTTTCACACAGGGCCATGTAGGTTTGGATTTTTTCCCCCCTTAATAATAAAAACCTTCATTTAAAAACTGCATTTTGTGTTTACTTGTGTTATCTTTGTCCAATATTTAAATTTGTTTGATGATCTGAAACATTCAAGTGTGACAAACATGCAAAAAAATAAGAAATCAGGAAGGGGCAAACACTTTTTCACACAACTGTAGATCAGCTTTTGGTATTAAAACCTATTATGGGACCTTGAGCCTTATGATACAGGTAGCACTGGCATCATGGATGCTACCATTGGATACAGTTCATGTCAATCAAAATAAAAGAAAGGTCACTTGCTTTTTAAATTAGAATGTGTTAGAAAGAATGTAAATGGCTAAAGCAGAGACTCTGGGTAGAGCTAAAACATTGTGTGCTGTACGGCGGAAACGTGAACACCTTTGAAGACCACCAAACAACAGATTCCACTTTACTGGAAGATTCTTCACTCTTCATCCTGCCAGTGTTGGATCACTCAAGTGTGGAAAGTAGTAACTGATTATTCTACCAGAATCCACAATGAAGAAATTCTTAATGGATTAAATGAAATCTGTTTAATCTCTTTAAGCGTTTTATTCAATCAAATACAATACAGGTCTGAAAGTACTTGGAAAGGGGCTACCATGCAAGGTGCCACCTGCCCATCAGGACTAACATTCATACCTGCAGAAACAGCCTACAGGACCAGTTTGGGGTTACAAGGACACTTTGACATGGACTAGCGGAGCCGCTGATCCACAGTCGCCCATGTGCTGCAAAGTTTTGTCAGAGGGGACTGAAAAGATTTGAATTGCATATTCACACTACCGATGGTTGTTGAGTTCCCTAAAATAGTGTGAGCTTTATAGCCAGCAAATAGGTAAAAGTAAAGTGTTGGGTGGACGGACAGATGGGACATGTTGGAACAGCTTGTAAAGAGCCTTCGGCCTCAAGAGAAGCTTCCTTGTCAGGAGAGGCTTCTCCTGCCACGTCGCTGAACCAGAGTCTAGTAGAGATGCTAATCTGGTACGCTAAGCTAGAAATCTGGCAGGACCAGGACCATACAAGTATTAGTCTACTTTTTAGAGCGTTTTAGATTTTGTCCTTTAAAATGTTTTTAGCAAGCAGCATTGTGTTGAAGTTAACACATGACTTTCTGTAGGTGCAAAAAAAGTAAAAGACTGAGCAAAGCAGCCATTGTGGCCGCAGACGTGACAGAAGAAGCAGGAAGTCTGCGGTTACCTTCATGGTTCAGAGTAGGTACATTCGGGCTCTTTCTAACTTCTAGTTTTATGTTTTATGAACTATGAAAGTGAAGAGTTGCAGTGTTGACTGCAGTTTAGGTAGACTTGAGATCTTCACAGCAGTTATTCTGTGCCACTGCCATCACTGACTGCTCAACTGGAAATAGATGGGAGAGAAAATGAGAAAAATATATGACTTAATAAAAAAATGAAAGAAAGCTATTAGAAAGCACCAGCATTATATCAGGTTTTTCAGCATGACATGTTTTAAACTGTACAATACATTGTACATAACTTTATTGGAAAGCTGGCTTGCTGCCTTTGATAGAACCTCTACAGCTTGAATAGCCATGAAACTGACAGCATTCAACTCCTGGTCTTCTGTGCCGAGGTATCAACATTACACCCACACAGTGGAGAGACAAACTATGTCATGGGCTGAATGATTGTTGTTGATTGTCTAATGTTATGCACCACCTGCCATGACAAATTCCTTGTATGTTACAAACATTGGCAATAAATGGTTCCGATTCTGATTGAACGCTCCCAAGTTAGGCTAAATCTTGGAGATGTTAAACTGCCCTGGTGTTTATTAAACTGTGACCTCTCACCTCAAGATGTGAGAATGAAAATGGGTCCTTTGGGTTACCAAACGAGATTCCCCTTTACAGACATGCCCACTTTATCCTAATCACATTCAGTGTGGTGCAAAAACCATGCCGGCATACTGGGTGGAGGTGTGGAATTGTCAGTTTTAAGATGCATAGTGATGTGGACATCAGTGACCCTCTCGTATCCATTCAGTGCTGTGTCTTACAGTTGTTGTGCATTTCCATAGATTAAAGAACACTTGTAATGTACTGCACAAGGACATAGGTTTGGTTTTTGTAATGTTTATGTAGTGAGGTGGCTCACAGGATACTGAATTGAACAAAATGCAGTTTTTTATACTCTAGACTGTTTGATTTTTCAAAGTACTCTTGAAAAGTAGCCATATGCAGTAGTATAGTTGAAAATATTTTTCGGGACAGTGGTGAAAACAAATAGTCTGGAGCCTCGTATAGAAACATCTCTCAAAGTTCTATTTGCACCCTTCTCCGTTGATCCGATCCGTGACCCGAAACGGTCCCAACCACGAGTTCTGTGATCAGTTGCCTCACCGATATGTTTGTTTTTCAGGGCTGATACAGATATTAATTCTTAGTTATTAAGGAGACCAATAAGAGATATTTAAAACAGATATACATTCTAAGTGGAAATGAAAATTCACAATAACACAAACCTTTGTTTAAATGTCTTAAAGCATTATGCTTAATTAACTGCTACAAAAGACAGCTGTTCAACCTTAACAAAGATCATTGCTCTTCTCATGCTGACATCTCTGCCTTCCCTTGTGTTGGTTGTGTTGTTGAGTGTAATACTCATACTACACTTTTAGAACTTGTCAAAATCCCAATATCCTAAAAGGGTATTTCCTGGTTTCATTGGTTACTTATTGGTACACAGCTTCTAAACCAGATTGTGAAGTTGTTTACATGACCATGGAAACTTCCACACAGCAACATCACAGATGACCAACTTGGCTTAGGTTGCTGTCTCTAATGAGTCACAACTAGTCTCCATCTGCCTGACACCATGTGTGGATCATTAATGTCAGTCAAATAGCACGGAAAAATAAGGGTTGAGTGAGGGGGAACAATAAAGATTTGAGTGGGAATGTTAATAAAGACAGACTGCAGAGGAGTCAGAGTGAGTTGGTCAGCATTAAGACAGAGAGCCTTTTGTCCAGCCCCAACAAAGGAACAGAATGGCAGCAAAGTTAGTAGTCAAATTCCCCAAGGACGTCTTTGCTTCTGCAAGACAGACCAATTGTATCAAATTCTTTTATTTGGGTTTTTCTGTTCTTTTAAGGTGCCTCCTGAAACTTGTAATGCTGTTTGGCTTCATCATTCCAACAGGAATAATAAGCTTTATCTGCTTTTGAGTTCCAATTTGGTGTTTTATTCTTTAAAAAAAAAATAAAAGTGGGCACTGGGGTGTGGGTTAGGGAATAAAACAATATCTAATAGTCCTAAATACAATCCTGAATGAATATATCAGCAATTGGTGTCTGTAAAAAAACGTCGCTTGGCTGTTTGCTACTAACCTTTCATGTTAGGCTTGGGTTTGTCAGTTTGCTTGCCTGTGGGGGTTTGTGCCTGCTGGCCCTGGCCCCCGGAGGTTGCCCCCTGCTGGGCTGCTTTTTGTTTCAGCATGGTCCAGTCAAATGTGTAGTCATACTGGTGGTTCAGAGTCCTAAAATACAAAGAAAGACGTTATCAGCCCAATATGACCAACAATCAGCTGTAAAAACAGGTTATGGAAGAACAGCAACATGGGAAAGAAGGAACGAAGCAAGCAAACAATGGCATAGGGAACGAAGCAAGAGACTGGAAGGCCAGATGAGACGGACAAAGAAGAGGGAAGGAAGACAGAAGGAATAGGAGGAAGAAAAGAAATAATCCTGTATGGTGATGGCTTAGAAATTCATCTGAACTTAATGTAGCATGCTTTGTTTGTGTATTTATACTACAACTGAGTGACAAAGACTTATTCATTAATGGAGATCTTTAGGGTCTCATCAACAAATAGTACATGCACTGTACTTTTACATCGCTTTTCTAGTCTTCAGACCACTCAAAGCTCTTTAACTCTACATGTCATCATTCACACTCTGATGGCAGAGGCTACCATGCAAGATTCATTCATACACATTCACACACTGCAGGCACAGCTTGCAGGAGCACTCTGGGGTTAAGTGTCTTGGTCAAGGACACATGACACGGACTAGAGGAGCCAGGGACCGAACCGCCGATCTACCTCTGAGCCACAGTCGCCCCTATACTTCTTCAGTCCATTATTAACCCTCATCTATTCACTTTCACACCTAAATTATTGCTTTCTATTATATTATTTTAAAAAAAGAATACATTCTGAAAAGGATTGATTGTATTTTGAATATAACTTTGTTGTTTCTCGAACAAAGTCATTAAATAAACTCAATATCTGACTGGAAACAAATCTAAAATGTAAATAAATAAACCATATGTGTGAGTGAAGCGCTGGTAGAGGGGGGAGGGACAGCTTTGTCTCAGCAAGCAGACAAGTTCACAAGACTTTGCCAAAATGAAGATGTGTGTCCAACTAAGCTCAACAGTTAGACTACAAACAGACGGGCTTGTGTTTGTTTGGAACAGTTTACCATCAGTGGAGCTAGCGTGCTGTGCTTGTGTTAAACAGAGGCAGTGAATGAGAGACGACATACTGAGCTAATTAATATTGCTCCGCTACATGTTTATGGTTGTTGAAAAGTTGTATTGATGAACACGTACGTGTGTGTGTGTGTGTGTGTGTGCGTGTGTAGGAGCACAGCCCTGACAAACAGAGCAGAGGAGGTGCTGCAGCGTGATTTTAAATGAACGTTGAAATGTATGGCTAAAACACCCGGTTACGTCAGAATCTAGCAATACTAAACTCGTTAATAATTGAACCCGTTAAATATCGAGTTTCAGCAGCCATCCCATTAATATATTAGCTGCAATCGATGGCGACCGCCGTCATTTTATCCAGCTCAAGTGATGGACTGGAGCAGACTACTTGGCATACAATTAGGTTTATTATGTCATAAGTAGCACAAAAGACAGGGCTGAATGAACGTTGGCACCAAGACAGGCCCTGGCAAAATGGTGTAGTATGCGATGTCCATTTACCTGAAAAGGATGCGGAACAGTTGGCGCAGGTACATGTAGTCTGGAGCCTCCTCAAAGCGTAATCCACGGCAGTAGTTCAGATACATAGCGAACTCTGCTGGGAAACCCTGGAAACATGAATTTATACAATTCAGCTGAGTGAATGTGGCGTAGGACAACTTTTACCACTGTCCCTGTTGAACCTTTTCTTACCTTACAGAGGACCTCAACAGGGGTGGACATCTTTTTCTCTGAGATCTTCTCATACTTCTGCTTCTTTGTGGCAGCCTGACAAACACACAAATACACTACTAGCAACATACGACCACTCAAATGGATTTTCACCTTCGTTCCGTAAATGCAGTATCTGAGTTATTATATCTGCAGCATAATAATCATGCAGGCACCACAGCTCCCTGCAGTTGTAGTAGCTCAGTAACATAAATGTGCATGCTTTGTATGTACAAGTAACCGATTTCAGTATCCACACATTGCGGCTGACCCCCAGTACAAGTGCCCTCTGTGTTTCAGACCTGGGAATGTCAAGTGGACCACTGACCAGGTTTAAGATATGCTCGGCTTTAAAAACATCATGCTCACCGTAACTCATACAAGAATAATTAGCTGTAAAAACCACATACTGTAAAACACACCTACAAAGAGTATTTAAATGTCACTAAAATGAACAAAAAGAAAACAGTTTGAGAATAGAGTTGGATAACCACAGTCCGTTATATGTTCATACCTTTAATCCCTGCCACGGCAAACTGGTTCTGTTGAAGTACATCAGCACGTAGCCTAGCGACTCCATGTCATCACGGCGACTGCAGACAACAGAATGAGTTGTTGAGTAAAGAAGCAGTCAGCACTGCCTCTCTGACATATTTTATATTCAGAAACATTTGGTCTTGAGATGCACCGACTGATCGGCAGCCGATCCAAACCGCCCCGTTTTCAGCCGATAGGCCATGACCAGCCGATCAGTGTCATAGATCTGGTTTTTGCCGGTCACATTTTAACGCGTGTGCCGCTACCGAATGCCATTTTTACTTCGACACAACGGAACATGTCCGTGTGGAAGACGGTGCAGCTCAGATTTTGTCGTGTATTTGGTCTTGGCATTCAAACATGGGAACTGGTTTCTCAGAGTTGAGCAGAGCTCTCATGCATGCACGCTAAAACTGCAAATTTCAAGATCCTTTTGCATTACATTAAGAATCTTTGATGGTTTACGCTGACTTTAGAGAAGTTGAAAGCATTTTTGGGGAGGTGGAGAAAAAAAAAAAAAAAAAAAAAAAAAAAAAAAAAAGAGTCTGGAGCCTTGTATACCAGCTGCTAAGAAAAATAAATAAATTGTATTTATTGTATCTGTATTGGACAATATGGATCATCGACAAACAAATGGTGTCGGTGGCAAAAAACAGGGAAACTAAACATTATATTTGCTTCTGTTTTTCTGCTGATCCGTCTGATCTGTCTAAAACCGTCAAACGCGACCAACCCCAAATGTTGAGATCAGCAGCAGCCCTAATCAGTCTAACTGGTAAATAATAGTCAAATAAATGTGGTGAAATTACACACATACATAAAGACAGTCAGGAAAATACAATGTTAAGAAGCTGGTGGCACCGGTGTAAAACCAGATACCTGTGAAAGTCAACTCAAGTCTTCCTTTGGTAGCTCTGCTCAACTGAGAAACAGTCCCTATGTTTTCAAATGCCTATTATGCCAATTATCCAGAAACATGCATCTTAAAACATGGAAGAAATGAAGAAGAATTTCTTTGAGAATCAGATATGAGATGTGTGCACGGACCTCTGTTCAATGCCCAGGTGTGCATTGATGGAGGCATAGCGTGCTGTGCCAGTCAGGTTCTTGTCTTCTCTGTAGGGGATGTGCTGTCGTGTTCGGTTGTCTCGGTACTTCTTCGCCAAACCAAAGTCAATAAGGAACAACTGACAGAGAGGGAGAGAACACATTGTGGTTTTCCGTCAGTGACACCCCACAGCAATGATAATCCAAAAGTTAATCAGAAATAAAGATTTTAAAAACACAGGAAATTAGCTGAGTCCTGTTGTAAATCATGAATGTTGAAAACATTGTCGTATTGATTGAGGAGATCCTTGTGACAACATGAACATGCATGGGGGGGGGGGGGGGGGGTCACATCAACAACTACATCCCTAATAAATAATCACTTCTCATAGCTTCACGGTGGTAATAGTCTTACACCAAAGTCAAACTAGCCAACTTCCAGACTCATTCTCAAGTTTTTACCTCCCTCGTACAGTACCATAGTGGCAGTGCATTGCTGTTTTCTTTTAAGCATTAAAAGAACCTTTTAAGTTGTATTCCTTTAAAACACATTGTGGTCAATGGGCTGTGAGAGCACCCTCAAATTCCGTTTGATGGCCGATGCAACAGTTAAGTGCAGCGGCTACGAAAGACGAAAGTGAATGATTTCTGCATAAGAGATTCAGAAGTGGAATACAGTTAGTTTTGTCGACCATCTGACAATTAGGCCACTTAATTACACTAATTTTGACAGGTTGTGTTATGCGGGGCAACCAGCGATGCAGTCAGATGTCATGTGTAATTCTAAAGCACAGTCAACATCCAGGGTGTACTCCACGATCATGCACAAGTTGAACACTTCATGAAGAAGTGGACCACAAAGACACACCAAACCACCCCACCCTCACATCCATGCATGTGTGCTAACTGCTAATTTAAACATCAAGACCACCTGGGGACCAGAAGCAAGAGTATCTGTTTCAGAATGACAGGAGTTCATTATGGCATAAAATGACAGCCTCGGGACTCTGCCTGTCTTTGTCAGCTTATCCATCTACATACATCCTCAATAGTTAAGACAAGCCCTGTTGTCCCATAGACCTCAGCAGTTTGTCGGAGCAGCCACTGTGAAAGAAATGCGTTACTGGTGTAAAAGTCCAGGGAACACACCTCTGCAGTGAAGGTCTAACAGTTCAATCGTATTTTAAGATTACTGTCACACTCCACCTCCCAGGCTTTATGCTAATAAATATAACGCAGTTATTGGTCAATTTAAGGTCTATAAGATCTCTACAACTGGTACATTTAGGGAATGTTTTCATCATCCGATTTCTACCCACATGAAGTTCAGATCTCTAAAAAGTTGTATTTTATTAATATCGTCATACAGGTGTCAACAGTATATGCCATGTTGTTTGTGAATGTAAGCAGAGCAGATCATGGTCGACATGGCGGTCTTCTCATACAAACTTGATACCAGGGCCTATATTGCCATTAAGTGAAGAACAGAATACTGATGCGACATCTTTAACACAACAACTAATTTCCAACCCTATTACAGGCACTTTCAATAGAAAACAACCAGAGGTGAAACGGAAGTTTTGAAAATCTCCTTTCCTCCAAATCTACACAGTTATGGAGAAACTTTATTGGGAAAAAAAAAAAAAAAGTTTCAAACAGTCACACCACCACAACATGGAAACCAAGACAAAATGACACTGCCGCTTTGCACAATATATGGACATTCCTGGTCCATGCTATGACATATAATGATACCGTACCAGACAATCTGGAATAGCAGCTTAAACAAGTGTCTTGAAAGTCTGGTAAATTCAGACAAACTAAAGGCCTGAATAGAATACATTTCTGAGATTTCAGGTGCACCTCCCTCTCAGCACACCTGAAGTACAACGCCATTCTGGCCAGTCAATTATAGAAGAACTCATTTATTAGGCTAGCTGCTTCAGGGAAATGTTTACCTATCCCCATTTAAATGTACAGTTGTAGTTAGTTTCAAGCCCTGAATGGAATAACGTTTTCTAGTTAGTGTAATTTAGGCTTGCTCAGACGGATCTACAGTGCTGCAAATGAGTACTTGTATTTGCACAATTTCACCAACTCGGAGCGTAAAACACTAATACATTTTGAATGAAAACTATTTTAAAATCAGAGAAAACCCTGTTTGGACAGCAGAAGCAGCCAATGGTAAAGCATGTGATATTTACATTGGCCTGAGAATAGTCTTAGGACCCTCTGGAAAGAAAATAACCATCTCAAATTTAAAAATATGTCGCACGCTGCCAACCAACTGCCTGCTGGAAGCCATTTGGGGCTAGTGCTACATGAAAGAGTCACGTGCCCTTTTGACACCCATGGAAAATGTAATTTTGACACTGATGGAAAATTGAATTGCAAAGTTATGCTAAGCCGGTGCAAGACATTAATTGTGAAAGATAAAGTCCTTAAAAGTTTGCCGTCAGTCACCTCTCAATGTGAGCATTTTCACGTGAAGCAGCTGAACAGGGCTAAATGGATAAAACTAGAAAGGCAAGCAGTTGGCTTTTTTAACAAGGGGTTGTGACAGTTTACTCCATATTTGATTAAGCAACTCTATTGTAGCTCAGGTTCTCTTTGCATCTTAAAAAATAAGGCTTGCAGGCATGCTTAGCATTTTAAAAAGACTTGTTTTAGTTTTGTTCTTCATTTGCTTTACACAACTTTTTTTGTTAAATATGCAGCTCAGCTGGGATCTCATGAAAAGATTTAAAAAATGCATTGGATATAAGACTATTATGTAGTACTGTATGTTAATAGTCATCTATACATTTGGATGGGATGCATACTGATTTAGTATTTATCAGTACGATTGAAACAAGTTCTGGGAGCCGAATTGCTAATTCTTCGTTAGATATCCTGCTGTTGAATAATATAAGGATCTAGTTAAATCAATATGGTCTTGGCTCTGAGATCGGGTTTGATATGAACTACTATCAGGACATCACAATAAAGAGACAGAAACAGCCTTTTAATGTCAGCAAGAAGCCAATTGAACCACAATTGGAGGGACAACTAAATGGGACAATAGCCACTCCCTAGGCAATGCTGGTGGCAAGTTTGCTATCCTCTCCCATTGTAATGTGTGTAAGTGCACACTGGGTGGGGGAGTACATACATTGGGTATTATGAGTGCAAGATGGGTGCTGGTGGTCTGATTCACTTTAAACCAGTGTAGTAGTTAGGTATGATTGCAAAGCGACAACTGCTGTTGTGAGGCAGCTGGTGTTGTGGTAAAGGTCACACCTGGTTTAATCCTGAGAAAGATGGGTCCTGAGAAGAGCTAACAGCCAAGCTTCTTTTCCTCTTCCCCACTGACGAGTCTAAACACTAGGGCAGACAGTAGAGGGGCAGGGGTCAAAATCACACAGCCTCTATCCACCTTCAGTCACAGTTAGCATGAGTACAACAGGCACTTCTGGTTGCACCCACATGGTTATCTCCCTTTGATACAACTAACAGTGTCCTGTACAGCTAGGATAAGCCCATCCCAGGCTGGACCTACACTGGCAAAGTATACACTTTTAAGTCCTTGTGGTACAGATGTGATCATTCTAGAAGAAACCACATGACTAGGAATTTCTTCTGTCAGGACAAGCGTGGTAAGATCAACCCTGTACAACAAGCCTAAAGTGTCTCATGAAACATGGACATGTTGAAACTTCAATATCATGTCTGACAGTGACAGTAAAGGCCAGTGCAGACAGGCAACACCATGGCTCAGAAAAGACCTGGGGGAGGGAGGAGATGTCGGCAGCAGATGGTAAAGACAAGAGCCCATGGTTGTCCTTCCTCCACCAGCAAAACAAGTAGTTCATATTAAACGTCTGGTAACAAAGAAAGATTTAACAGGCCACTGGTGAGATATTATCTTAACCAAGTTGTTCACAGACCACCACTTACTACATAGGGAGAGTTCCTGCCTCTTGTTTACATGGACAATGTCATCAATCACACGCAGCAAAGCAGACATAAGGGGTTAAATCTGTACTGGAGTTGAGTTAGTATTGGAGAGAAATGGCTGTGATCACCTGTATCACATTAAGGCATCTTCAGACTCAGCAACTCAAACTGTTGCCTCTTATCTGTCACTATGATGGACAAAAGCACCACGCATACGGTTAGCTGTGATATAGTGCTGGTTTATTCCAGAGATTGTTAGCATTATCAAACAAATAAATGAACAATGTACTACAAGTACTTGTGTAATGACAGGCTAAACCATAAGCTGTGAAACAGTGACACCCAAAAAAACAGCGGTCCCCGCTTCGGGACAAACTAAAACATGTACGTTCTAGCACTGCTCTGGGGCATGATCCCAGAACGGTGGTTACCAAGTCATAGTGTTATACTTAGTGTATACGTCTAGTGTTTTAACTTCCCTGAAATCTGAGACATCAACTTGTGCATTGAGACCCATTATCCAAAGCAAGCATTTGACCTAGACTAACCTCAGTTGGAGGTGAACATGACAATCAAAATAGTGTAGAAAAAAGGTGCAGAGGCTGAAGTGATATAGCTTATTAAACCATTCGGGAGATGCAACAAGATACTGAACAGCACCATTTTGCCCTAAACACATCAATATCAGCACGAGCACTCATCAGGTGCTGGTGCCAATATAAAAAAAAAATCAATTTTTCAGAATACATTTACGTGTTGACGCACATATTGGCACTTCAAAACTGATTGAAAAGAAAATCAGAAGTTTATGACCAACTACGAAGGTGTTGGAGATTGTTAGTCCAACAAGGTTCTTTATCCTCACCAATGTGAAAAAGAGACGTTGAGGACATTTGATGCCCAAGAAAGAATAAACAAATGGTACTGTTTAATTTGAACTTTGCTTAAAATATTTTAAGTCTATCAATCGGTAAGCCTTGTATTGTTAAGCAAACCATCCATGAGCTGACTGTACACTTAGTACTGACAAAATGTTCTCACAGGCAAAAGGTGTTGCAACAAAAAGAGACTACATTTGGCTAAAATTCCAACAAGATGCCTAGAGAGACCCAATTCCATACAAAATACCATAGCTAGCAACTTCTCTAAATAGTCATGCAAATGTGGGACAACTATAATGTTGGCCTCTGCAGTCGCACTGGTTTCACTACAACCATGTTTATTCCTTTTTTTCTTTACAAGAAATTGTAATTCATGTCTAATACTAAAGTGATACGCAAATTTAATAATTACAGCAGAACACGTCCCGCCATACATTCTCTGAAAATCCGGTGTAAATGTACATGAAACATGTTACAAAGGTTGTAGTCTGGCGCTGGCCCATGCAGAGAACATCATAACGTCAAGTGACCCCAGCAAACAGCCTGCCAACTGTCAACCCCTGCATGTGCATTAACGTGTGAAAAGATCAAGCATTACGACTTCAGTTGACACTTCCAAAAGTACACAGTAAACTCAGCTTTGCTATAAGATGGACTACTACTACTGTGTCATGACATACAGCTGTCCCACTCTTGTCTTGAGTATGTAAAAGTAGTCATTTAATTGATTGTGCTATACAACTGTAACAAGTTACCTACCCAATTTTGCAATGGAATAATCATCAAAGCCATTACATCCTATTTAAGTTAGTCCATATTAGCCATAACCCTAACTTGAAACAAACAAACGTAGCTAGACTGCAGCGTCAGGGATGAGAAGCAGGCTGCAGCAGGCTGTCACTAAGCAGGACAGGTCAGTGGTGGTTGGGCACAAAGGTAAAACATACATCACATGCTATAACTTAACCAGACGTTGCCTGTCTGCAAGGGCTCAAAATAATCTGAATTTCAGGCAACTTCATTATACACACCTCTGACCAGACTCAAACAAATGACATCACAAGACAACAAAATCACTTCAATGTGTGTTGTGTGCGAGTAGCTAGAAAACCAGCATCATTGTCCACAATTCAGTCAATTCTTCGGCAAGAATTCAGCACACAGAAACTGGGCTACACCACCCTGCAACCTTTACTTTTTAATCAGCAATTATCTGTATAATGAAGAGGGAATTACATTATTTAGGGAATAAATGTTTGTCTAACTTGATTTGATCATTTTGGCCATCATTTATACTTCCCATCAAGGTATGCCTTTGTACCGTGTGACCTGCTTTATGGAAAACCAAACACAAAAACACTGGGGACTAAGATTTTGTTGTAGATCGTTAAACTTTTCATTGAGCATATTATGGTGGACGGCAAACCTTTGGAAAACAATTTAAACACAAGGGTTTTGAAACTTTTTACAATTATCTAGATTAGTGTAGACAGGCTTAAAGGGCCAGTACACCCAAATTACACAAAAACCTTTTCTAGTTGAATCTGCATCACTCAGATACTAAAGATTTTATTTTCACACCTAAAGAAATCATTTATAAGGGGCAAAATTAACAACAATTGACGCTAGGGAATTGATACGGTCAATTACACAGCAATTATGAATGACTCAAAGTTAGGACTTCTTTAAGGATCAGAAATGTACTATGTAGTACTATGCAGCTAGTTACTAAACATTTACTAATTGAATGCTAACTCTAGCATGGTTGAGTTTGTGTCTTTTCAGCATAGACATTACATTCAAAGCTCATAACTACTTTGTGCAAGAAGGTGGAGAAGTGGAAGAAAGAAGAACAGCAGAAAACAAAAAAGAATTGAGGCTAAAAGAAGCATCAGCAGAAAGTGATCGGGAACGCTAACGAGGTGAACTGCATTGTTAGTGGAACATTAATAATAGTATTGTCAGTTTAAATCGGTCTTTTAAGCATTTAGTCAAATCAAAGACTTTGTGTGTCTAAAGTAAAGCATGCGATTGAATTGTTGGCCATTATCAAATATCTTGAATCATAACTCCTCAGAAATGAATTTACTGTATTAAAACAATTCACTTTTGCCCTGCCTAAGCAAATAGAACCTTATAATTACAAGTATTATTATTATGATGAGGAAGGTATTTTACGTTTTTCATCCGATATTTATTCATCAATATATTTCATTACTTGGCTATCTATTTAATTGGAAATGTATTAATCATTCATGTCTTTATTTGGCTTCTCTTAACACACCTGCTCTTCTATAGTGGGGTGCCTGCGGATCACTTGGAGATCAATAGCCACTCTGAATGCAGATAGAACCATATAATCCCACGGTCACAAGTTTTTGAACTTCCATTTCTGATTTGTACCGATAGCTGGCTAACCATCATGCACGTCTGTACATGATCTACATGCAGCTGTTCACAGTTTGATGCGATAGATTTTAGAGATTATAAAACTGATATGCAACAAGACTTTGGAAAAACTATGGAAACCTCAAACTTAAAAAAAAGAAATCCAATAATGTATGTGTCATATTGAAACTTAATGAAAGACTTTGATGTTCCACATAAACTAACACTTGAGGGGCACAAGATAAATGAGTATTACTTTGTACTTTTATTTAACTGTGGAAAGGTGACTTCAACTCCTCCACCGCCCATAGTCATCATATATGAACAGATTCATATGGAATCGCACTCGTTATGCGTCCTCTTCATTTGGATCATATTTGATATAAGACTGTTACTCGTTGATTTCTGCTGTGCTCAGAACAGGTAGTAATGTTGCCGTCAGTCAAACAAGTGATAACAGTACAACATTTGATACCATTTGCAGGCTTACAAAAACATGCCGTGGATCTGAAACAGCAGAACAGTGTCATAGCCATTAAAAGCTTTTTTTAGAGGCAGTAATATAGTATATGGAGAGTTCACCATTACTCAAGCTACATTTGAGGATTGGGGAAGAGACCAGGACTGTGAAGTTAACATGGCCACCATGCCAACAGCTCTATTGAGAGCTTCAATAGTCCATACTTACTGTGTAGGACTGAGACGGGTCTTACCTTGTTACAGTGACGGCCGATGCCCATGAGAAAGTTGTCTGGTTTGATATCTCTGTGGATGAAGTTCTTTGTGTGTACATACTCAATTCTGCTGATCATCTGAAGATGAAAAGAAAGCCACGGTTACATATTTTGAAGTTATGACCATTCTGCATATAACATACTAAAATATAGGTCTTGATTTAAATGAATATGGGCAATTTAAAGTCACCAATACCTAAGACTGAACTGGCAAACCCACAGGAAACCCAGGCAGAGCCCATGCTTACCACTGACTCACAAAGCTAGCAGGTTGGAACCAGGACCTTCTTGCCGAGAGGCGGCACCCCCTGCTGCTTATATTTAACCAAGCTCATTGCTTCAGAACATTGCAGAGAGCCGGATGTGTGCAAGTGTTAGATACCTGGTCTGCCAGCATGAGGACCGTCTTCATGGTGAAGCGGCGAGAACAGAAGTTGAAGAGGTCCTCCAGACTGGGTCCAAGCAGGTCCATGACTAGGACATTGTAGTCCTTCTCTTGGCCATACCACCTGGGGACACAGTAGTCGTATCATGAGGGTGGCTCTGTCTCACAGCACATCGTCTGAACCAACTACTCAGGTTGAAAACGGATCTAACACTTCTCTGCTTAATTATCATAAGGGTAATGTAGAGGTATTGTTTCATCAATACACGGATAGACATGCAACTTAATGGTCGTTTAATTCGGATGATAATTGGTGACGGTCACCATTTTATTTTTCAGAAGTCAAAAACCAGGTTCCCTTTCATCCAAATGCCAAGTTGCAGGTTCAGACTCCTGGCTATGCCTACAAACAGCTGTGTAAAGGGTAGGGCTAGGCAACAATTCAATAAGATAATTGTCTTTCAATGAAATCTTATTGTGATTAAATCATATGTAGAGATATCATGATGCAGAAATGGATAATAAGCACATACCGATTCAAATTCTTCAGAAAAGTTTAGCTCCGTTTATGGGAATACCCCAGTGTAGTTAAATCAAACTATCTTCTTAATGGGATTACTCTGTATTTGTGCATGTATGTCAGCAAAGTCAGTGTGTAGCTGGAAATACTTTTCCCTCCACAATTTCACTTAAGAACAGTTTTGTTCATTTTGCATGAAAGTTCTTATTAATATAATAAAATTAATTATAATTAGTTCTGGGCAACGATTCAAAATTTTCATCGTGATTAATCGCATGATTTTTCTGCGATTAATCACATTAAGTGCAAAATTCAATAATGAATTCAAAAGTAGTGTATTGCGCACTTGGCACATAACATTTGGTTTGCAAACACTTTAAACACATCAGGTTCTTGTTAACAGCAGTATTCCCTTTACACAGTAGCAGTTATAATACAGTTCTTGTTAACAGCAGTATTCCCTTTACACAGTAGCAGTTATAATACAGTTATGATTCTGATAATAGATATTCAGCCGGTGTTCCCAACTTTATCTTCATGCGTGTAAGAGATGACATTTAAATATACACCTTGAAAACTGAAAAACCTATCTACGTCATGTTTTATGTTTGTTAAATTCTCAGTAGCGATATCAATGATGCTTATTATACATATTACAAACAAACACTTTAAAAACTAATATAAATATAAATGAATCATTTATTTTTATATGGCGGCAGCAGAAGGAAGTGACGCCACACAAATACAGCTGTTCACCGCTCGCTGGCCGGTTTTTCTGTTAAAAATGTCCCCTTAATAAAAATTTTAAAACCAACGTTAACGCATTTATTAATTAACGCCGACAATTATGTTAACGCGTTCACTTGCCCAGCACTAATTATAAAATAATTTTAAAAAACATTAAAATAAAAAAGGATATAAAAAAAATGTTTTAACATGCGGTTATTTCACATTGACTATTTTTTGAATTATCGGAAAACAAGCTATAGAATGATTAGGAATGCCAATTTTTATTTTATTGTTTTTCTGACCCTTGTTAACAGTATCTCAATACATTGAACTGCATCTCCTATATCCTGACACGTATTGCGTCGCCTAATACACAGCCCTATGTCCACCCAGCCTAACTTTTGTTGTCTGGACATTTGCCCTCCATGTTATTTTAATACTCCCTCTTCTCTCACCCTGATGTGCTTGTAACAGGCCTCCTATGACAAGTGGCCTGTATGTTGTGATAATGGTTGATATCAGACTGACCCAAAGGCAGTAGTGATGTTCTCGATGTTGGACTGAAACAAGTCAATTGTCCTACAGTCTCAAAAACATCAATCAGTTAATAGCAATATTGACTTCTATTGATTACATCTATATCAGATATTCTGCTACACCCACACACACAGTAGGTTAACTGGCAGCTGCGCTCAAAGCATATACTACAGAGCAGTACCATCAAAGGTAATCAACAAATTCAGCAAATTCTTCACAACATCAAACAAGATGATAAACAAACACTATGCCTTATGTGTGTTAAGCATCCCCAGTGCTCTACAGCTACCCTAATAATAAATCCAACGGTCTTGGTATTTTAACAGGAACACACGTGGGTGTATTTAACAGATAATCTATATTCTGTCAAATGTCCTAACCCATTCAAGGAGGCTCGGTCAACCAATTGAAGGGTCAACATGCGTCATATTGTCGATTCCACATTAGCTAAAGACATTAAGAAAAAAAGTCAAATTTTTCAGATTGGGAGGAGTGTTTTAAGTGGGCACAGTGCACAACACTAAAACAGCATGTGCTTGTTACATTACTTGTACTAGCTTGGTATAAATGGTCCATGACCTTTTGCCAGCGTATGCTATTGCCAAGGAGAGAGAAAAGCTGAAGTGCAGAGTAAGCCTTTCCTTACTCAAAACACGGTGAATACTTTCATCTGAAACAGCCTGGTGATGTATCCACAATGAGGATCTTAGCCATACGCACACACCTAACACGGTTTTAAAAAGGTGCATGACACTATGGAAACAAGTCAATTCACCATTGGGCTTATTTTGTTGAACAGAATCAAAACCGTTTTGCCGTTTGTCTCATTCTGCATGAATGGAGCATATGGGTGGGGATAATGCTTGGGGGAATGACCCACTATCTGTATCAAGGTATCTTTTAACATCCTAGCGGTTTCCCCATATATTATGTTATTTTGTTATATAGGTTTATGGTGGCTTATACTACAGGAAGGAGTTCATAGAATAGGGAAAACATGTTTATGTCATCAAGTATATATTGAAGGGTTTATTTACTATAAGTTTGCTTGGCCCCAAGAAATGATACAATGCATGAAAAAATCTGAATGCATGAAACGGTTGCAGAATGTTCAATCTTCTTGTGAAAACGGCAACATATCTAAAAGCAGGAACTTGAAAATAAAGAATTTAGATATGGCAACTTTTTTTTCAAAGCAAAATATTTTAAGATAATTGTATAATGACTATAAACTGACCACAGGTCTGTAAAGTGGGCACCTTTGTGTCAATGTTGTTATAATGGTGGGATAGCAGTCCACGACTGGAATATTTTAGCCTCGGCAAGACATATGTTGAACCCAGTTCTTAACTGCCTGGAGCGGGACCCTTTCCTTGCATAGGTAGGTTGGAGCATTTGTAGTTTCGCCCACCACTTGCTTTTCTTGTCATATTCAGGCCATGTCTGACCATTTAGCTTCGCCGTTTTCACACCCGCTAACGTTACAGGCGGCCTCCAATCCGACGCACTCGGGGTATTTTGTGCCGAGGTGACAGAAGTGATTAGTCTTAGCTGGAAACGGTGGCTACAACAGACACAGCTCCTCTCTAGGACACATGTTATTTTAGTGCATCTCCGGTGTTCACATCCACTTGAAAGTTAATCATCGTAACTTAAGGTTAAATAATTGATACTACGATATAAAAAAACACTGATACCATTAAGTCTTGCATTCAAAATGTGAATTATAAAAATATAATTAGGACTGGCCAGCCTTTTGTGTTTTTTAGACCACTTCTTAATTTTACTTACTTTCAATCAAGTTATGTCAAATGCAGGCTATTATATGGCTGTTTAAAACATGTCAGGTAGGTGTTCTGTATGGCCAGAAGTTTCTTAATATTAACGGGAATATCTGCCATACAAAAAAAACAAAAAAAAAAACCTGCTCCCACACATGCGTGTCTTTTAGGGCCGTCTGTGTCTCAAGTTGGAGAATAAAGACGCCACCCTATGGGTCACTATTGTATTCCTTCAATGCAGCACAAAACAGTTCCTCTTTGTTTCTGACGTTGCACAATTTAACGACTGGATGAAACAGTTAACTAAGCATTACTACAAGACATTCTTTAACAGACTGTTGCAAATTCCAGTTGCATTTTTTAATCAATTCATTTCTTACATTAGCCCTTGATTATGTTCTTGCCGCCATGTAATGGGTTAGAAAACGATTGGCCAAACTTGCATGCCAACTACTGGCCTCCAATAATGAAGACGTAATCGGCAAGTATGTTAATTCAGATTATCCAGCAAGGCCTTTTGTTGGTCAGTCAGAAACATGCAAGTAACAGAATAGCATGTCCTTTGCAGTGCCATTTCATGGAGGTACAATGTTTCAGTGGCATATGCTGTTTTGTGTTTGCTGCTGCCTACTGCTATGCTACGGTTCTTGTACTGGAGTGTACAGCACACCACCTATATGGCACAGATGTGATTCTTATACACCAGTACTGAATCAACTTCAAATCTTTAGTTTTTTTTATTCTACAGGTCAATTCCACCAAAAATATTTTACATTTTATTTTTCTCACAAAAAAACCCTAAACACTATTAGAATCCATAGTAAAGAGAAGAAGTGGTGACAGGAAGAAAAGCTGTTCTTGTTTAAAGTAGCCTCCTTAACTATATTATTATGATCAATTGTGGGTAAAACTTTATTGCAACAAATATAAGAAAGGACGTTGTTTCAGTTGGTATGAAAAAACAGGGCGAGAATGAGGAAACACTGAAACTATGATAGGCGGTGACTGCATAAAAGGTGAGCCAGGTTGTACTATGAGTGGAGGGGAAGCTGGACCAGCAGGTCGGACAAGCTTAAACAAGACTTTGCTGCAACAAAAGTCAGCATTACCAGTGCAAAGATTCAATCAAGTTCCTGCTACAGTAAAGGTGCAAAAGCTTTGCTTCAGAACCGACAGGACCCGTCACTATTAAGACCTCCAATTCATGATACCAATGCTTTTACAACCCGTGATCAGAACTCCTGGTGCCTACCAAAAAAGCTGCCATCATTAGGACTCTATAATGACCATGACTTGCACACAAAAATGCACAATTGGGATCCAACCCATGTGTGCTTGTATCTATGGCAATGGTTACCTTACTAAGCACTTCTAGTTTGTAAAGAAGGTGTGTGTGTTCAAAGTTCAGTTTTCAACAGAGTTACCATGCCTTAATGGCTCCCCTGTCATTGTCTCATTTCAGCCATGTGCCAGCTGTACTGTATAAGGCTGTGCATGTTAGCGCTGTTAGCCAGATATAGAACAGGGAAAGGAAAATCAACACCAGTTAAATGCTGA